TTTGTTTGATGATAGCTACCGTTATCTTCATGGTCATTATTGTTTTCATCATCACCATAGCCATCATCATCATGATAATAATCATCATCATCCTTTCTGTCATTGCCATCGCAGACGTCATGATTACCACATGTAATTCTTGGCAATTGTGGAACTAAAGAGCTCAAGCCACCTCACAACAAACCATTGTTCAATCTGCAGCATCCACCATGATGTTTTGCGCCACGACAGTGGATGTTCATCCCACCATGTTCATCGGAAGGGTCGCATGACCATACCCACTTATATAATCCTATGTAGCTTGACCATGGTGCAAATGATGTTCCCACTTTGGGAAGTCAACATCTTCAACCTGTACAAAAACATCGCATGCCCAGGTGGCTTGCTTGTTCCTCCACACCAGCTGGTCCCATTTGGCGGTGAATGTCTATTGTCTTTGGTGTGGAACCCAAGGGCAGTTTTGTGGTCCACCATTACCGCCAGATGTTTTGAAAGGGTCGTGCTGAATTCCCAGTGAGATATCCTGGTAATCATTATGTATAAATATAGGATAATAATTGGTATGGATTATAATGGTACAAAGGTGTGTATTATATATATACACATATGTAAATGTATATATGTGTATATATATACATATATATATAGAGATACACATGGATCAAACTTGGATGGCCCTTGAACTGGCCGGTCAATACTAGAAACAAACAGAATCGTCCCCATCGGCCTTGAACATCCTCCAGGTTCTTGGGCCGCCTCGCTGAGCGACTCATGGGTCCAGGTGGAAACCAGGAGTTTGAGTGGGATACGAAAAAGGTGGGGTCAGAATGGGGTCAAATCCTCTAAAACTGGGATATCTGTGTATATATATATATATATGTATTAAATACCAGTACAAACAGCATGTCGGGGGGTCGTAGGGGGGTGGTGACCATCTATATATATATATATATACGCACACTATATACGCTCTATACCTGACTAAGTATTTATATATATATATATGTATTTTTTTATATACGTACATGACCAAGTAGTTCTGTTTATTATTTACTCCTCCATCCAAATGGATGGCAGGATGGCACGGAGTTACCAGCATTTCGTTATCTTTAGACCATCTTAATTCGGGGGGGTACTGAATTTAATTGAACCGTTAGGTGAATAGTGATTCAAAATAATGGGGTAATAGTTGATGAGTGGCGTATAATCCTCTCCCCCTAATACTACACCATCCCCCTCCAATAATAAACACCTGGAGCAGTTTTTAGTATTAAGGGGTATTTAGTATTAGGGTGCGAAGCTTGCCCCTAATACTAACTTTGAAACCTTAATTGAAAACACTAACATGTTCGATGTCAAAATCAATTAACTTCTCTCTTGAATTTTAAATCTAACTAAAATATTGCCAAACAATGGATGTCGAAGAAGCTTTCCCCTAATACACCTTAAATAAATGACTGAAGTTTTCGATTTTATAGGACGGACCCCAATTAAAAAAACACCCCGGTGTTTGTATCATTTCTGTTGAAGTCATCCATGATTCACTTTCACTCTCCACTACTAGTGCGGCTCCACTCTTGGATCTCTTGACGGCTAAACCTCGAACGACTCTGCTGAAGGGCTTCAAAATTTAGACCTACAGGATGTGTGTACCTATATGTCCCATATTGTCCCACTGCCAAAACTTGGACTATATACATTTATAATATACCCATATCTGGGAGATGGCCATGTCTAAAACCATTTTCAGGAATCCCATTCATGATGGTCCAATGGTGGGATGACCACAGCCCATTCATTAATCTGATGTTTTGACCCTAGGACACATAGGAATATCATATCACCTTGCCAAGAACTTCTGAAGGAATTTCGCATCTAAAGTCAGCAGTTTATAAACCACATAGCCTATCATTTGGAGGCAGCCAACTCACAACCCGACTTCATCCGGCCAATTTTTTGAAATCAAAATGCAATCCACAAGATATGGTAGCTGCATTGATTAATTAGTAGTAGTACATTAGCATTTTGGTCATCAACCAGAAACGTGTTACAAACACTGTTGCGACGGAGTGATTTTATTTGGGACTGGATCAAACCAATGACCCCAAGAAATCCATAAATGTGGATGGGTCCCTTCCAGCATGTTCATCATGATATGTTTTGTTTGTTTTAATATTAATTATATATACACTACATTGTCGTTTAGCATCAGTAATGCTTCTCATTAGTATTACTATTGCTGATTATGGCTATTGATGATGGTTGATTGTTGTTATCACGTGCGATTTTTATTTATGCATTCAATTACTACATGTGAAGGCTCTTGACCAGAAGGCACTTGCATCCACAGAGATTTATATACGATATCATATCAAGTTAATTAGTTGTATCATGTTATATCCCATTGTATCCCCATGAAGATATGGGAATATCCTGGATTATCATGGATTAGCCTTTTTCATATATCCAACTATAGGGAATTATATTGATTTATATCATTTTAAGTCTACTATGTATGATGTCTTGTCCCATCCCGTCATATCCCCACCGTGCTGTTTGGCTGTTTCTTTCGCAGGGCGTTTTCTCTTCGCCTTTTTGATGGCCGTTGCTTGGACAGCTCTGTTGGATGTGGTGCCCCCCATGTTACTATAACGGTTAGCTCAAATATCCTAGGACGCATTAGTTGGTTGATATCTAAGTTGTATAATAAGTAGGATAGAATAGGATAGATTAATCCACAATAATTTGTTTTATGGTTTATAAGCTCCGTTAACTAGTTGGATACAGTCGATACAAACGATAGACCCTAGTTACATTGTTTAGTTCCAAAACAACATAGCTAACAATGGGGCACCACATGGTACACCTCCATAGCAAAACCGAGAGTTACCCTCTTGAAGCATACGATGCAACTGGTGGTCACTGGTATCAAAGAATCCCTTCTCGGACCCAAAGAATTGGTATCAGTGGTTGCACAAATGGCTCTATGTTGTGAGTAAGTACTTATACACTACTGTGGATGGAAGAAATCCTGCACCACCTTGGATGTTTGAAACCCTATAAATAATGGGATCAGCCACCTATCAACTGGTGCAGGATTTCTTCCATCCACACTAGTATACGCATGCAGCAGGTATTGGTTGAGTATGTTCCTTTATCATGGCGAATCTGTCAATCGATCCTTTACTTGTTGGTCGTAACTTTCTCCAAGTTAGAACATACAATCGTTTGACAAACGGGGTTTGAATATGTTCAAGGTTCAGTTTAGGAGCTATC